TGTTCCCAGCGCTGCTCTCAAAGGTATTGCGTGATATTTCAATTTGTTTTTAGTTGTAAGTGGCTTAAAATGATTTAATAACTCATCAAGGGATTTGCTTGTTGTTAGGTATTTGCTTTAGCTTCCATTTCCCCTGTACCCCCATTCAGTCGCATTCTCAAGTGCCAGTCCCATTCCCATTCCCATTCACGTTCTTGTTCTCATTTGCTATTTGCCGTGCTTAGGTTGCGGCTCACCTCAGCCACGTTTGAGCATGTCAAACTTTTTAAGTAGTTTTGACGTTTCATATTAAAGAAGTTTTATATTAGTTTTTGCTCATTTCACCATCATTAATACAAATATCAAACTTAACTATGCATATTTACTATATTTCCTCAAATGAACACGTATGTGTGTGTATGTTTGTGTTTGTGTCCCAATTACTCGCCTCATAAGTATCTTATTTGCCATCCATAATGAGCAATATGTGTTGCGCATATTTTTTACAGATTGTGTAAATATTTAAAGGGACGACTTAGTCCTAAATGCGCCCATGGGATTCTGACAGCGACTAAAACTATTTGTGTTAAGTTTGAAATATATGTATTAACATACCGATCTATGTATGTATGCTTGTATATATTTGGTCAATTTAAAATATGTGCACATATTAAGGCAAATCAATTTTGGACTAACAAATTGTACATTTCAGTGCGATTTGGTTCGCTCGAGGGCCACGTCACGCAAAACCCCAGAGTGATATTTACCTTATACCCAAACACAGTGTGACCAGTCACGTAGCACAAATGTATTGAGTGGGTTGTAAATGGGCAGTAAACTACTGACCATCTGCCTGACCAACACCAACACCAAAAGCAAAAGCATCAGCAACCCCATCAACAGCAGTCCGACGGACCGACAAACTGCGCTACATACTGTGGCAGCTTGTGGTAAATGTTGATGGAGAGGCGTGTTAGGGAGTACTGGGTGCAACGTAAAATTTGACAACTTGGGAAATAGTCTGACAGCCACAGAGCGTACAAAACAAAGTTTTTGGGTATTCCTTGTGTCTTTCTATGCCAAAAATGTAATACGGCTAATTACACAGCATAGAAAACGTTTCTATGTACTATGGATAAGTGTTTAATAAAATCCGAGCAAACATTGTTGGCTGAAATCTGTGAGAATTCTTTGGGGCATTAAATGTCCCATTTCTTTATTGATGGATTGTTTTTTTAAAAATTTACATTGATTTTTGGTGATTGATCTGACTTTTTACCTACTTAATTGATTGCTTACTGCTTGTGTATTGCAAATTGCTCGTGAAACAAAGAACCCATCACGTTTGTACTGTAAATTACCGCTATTAATTATAATGCCACTCTAAAACAAAAAAAAAGGGTTGATGTTAAAGGTACAGCATGTTCCTAAGCTCAAAACAGCTTCCTTAACTCTGGAAATGTTAGGTGATGGATACATTTATAAACAAGTTTAAAAATTCACTTTTTTGCCTTATGTAGAACAAATAAAATCCGAACTAAATGAATATTTTATTTAATTAATCATAAATAACAATTGACAAAGTTAATTGTCTATATATCATCATCACTTTAACTTTAAAAATTTCTTGTTCATTTTTGGCCTAGTGATTTAAGTAACAAGCTTGAGCTTCTAGTAGTGAACCAGTCACCCAAAAATATGAATTAATTTAATTTACATTTTTTTTTTGGCATTTGTAGCGTTGTTTCAAGACTCATAACATTAGATCTCAGTGAAGCTGATGACTCTCACTTTGCTGCCCATTGTGTAAAATGTTGTCTGCCCGTTATCTGAGTGTCTGTGTGTGGACACGTGTGTGTGTGTGTGTGTGTGGAGTGCAAGTTTCTGTCGTCGTCTTCGTTGGTGCTGTCCGCCGTCGTCGTCACAAAAGTTTCTCCTTCATGTGCCTGCTGGCGGCATGTGTTCAAGAGTTAAGTTGCTTTAAGTGTGTTGGTTGGTTGCTTGTGGCGGTTGCAATCCGCTATTCTCCATGTAGAAATGTGCTGACTCTAGGAATTTAAAGCTGCCACATGGTGCCAAACTGGTCTCTGACTTTTTGCACGCAGCCCAACAAGCCGATTACTTTAGCATTTGTTTGCCGGCAAGATCCATCGGACGGTGTAGTGTGGGTCCAGACTAAGCCTGAAAAGCCATTTAAGACAATTTGCCAAGCGTGTTTTGCCAATATAGCTGCCTTGCTTTATTTATTGCCTGACTGCGATGTCATAAAAATCATAAAACGTATCATTATTGGGGAAACCCCCTGTAATAATAAAACCAGCAAAAGCAACAACAGCACAACCAGCAACGGTAGACATCATGAACGCATTAGACAAGAGTCCTTGGCAATGACTCTGACACTGTGGCAATGACAACGAAAAGTGTCTTATAAGAACAACAACAACAACAACAACAACAAAAACAAAAGCAAGTCGAAGAGCAACGACAACATCAAGTACAACAACAACTGCAATAATAATTAAGCGATATCAAATTGAAAAAAAAAGTAACTTTTGTTAACGCAGTCAGGGAGAAGCCAACAGTTCGAGAGGGGGTTACTCTAACGATGATTTAGCGAAATGCCCTGTGCGATATAGTAGATTGTCGATAAGTGTAATATGTATGAATATATGTTCATGTACGTAAATAAATGGTTTCGCACTTAGCTGCGTTTAAAAAGTTGACAAAGCGTAAAGCAAAGCAAATTAAATAATAATTGCTGTCACGACATGGGTGTAGTTCGTGTGGGGACCTGTCACCGTATGCATTAATAATCACACTATGAAGCCCATTGACAGTTTTGATAAAAGCGCCTTTAATTTATACAATAAAACACCATTTTCCCATAAAAGTTAAAGTTAGACAGCAATGGGACTTCAAAGTTTTTTTGCCATTACCATTGACATGTGAATTGAGTTCACAGATTTGTGTTTTATTGTTTTATTGGTCTTTTTTTTACTATACAAATGATGAGATTATAATAAATTGAACGAGTGTTGCCTATCTAAGTTAGATTTATTTATCGTTATAACGAGATAATTAATTACTTTTTAGCATTGGGGCAATGTGCAACAGCCCTTAAAAAACGATTACTCAGCATAAGTTTTATTGAAAATTTCTCATATTGGGAATAGTTGTGGCTCAACGCTCAGCATGTAAATTTGTGATGCAAATAATATTTCATTTATTATGAATTCATATATATTTGAGGAGACTGTTTGGAAAATCCTGTGAGTGCATAGCAGAGCACAGTATCCGTAAGCTTGACTTTCCGTATTCTTACTCCAATTCCTCCCTTTTTTCTCCCTTATTCAGTATATTTTTGCAACCCTCTCCATTACTAGATTGTTTATATTTGAGTTGAACTGCCCTGTGGTATAAGATTTAATTAACTGAACTTAACTTATCACAAACTTCTTCCCTTTTCAAAATTAATACATTTGTCTTGTTTACTTTGGCTTATTGGCCACTTGTAAAACTTGAGAGACCACAACTATGCTGCGATAGGCTATATCTTTGTTTGACCATCTAAAAGGAGCTCTTTAAAATCACAGCAACTTCCATATCAGAGCACTGGGCGAACCCTTATCAAATTGCGCCACTGCACTTTCGTAACTTTGCTTATAAATTTCATTCGAGCCATTTGTTGACACACACACACAAACACACACATAAACAATATTCGCAAGTCGCAATGTCTCGCGAAAAGTTTGCGGTAGTTGGGAACGCGGGGCAAATTCTTAGTACTATTGGTTATCGCACTGGAGAGTATACGAAATCGCATTTGTGCTTTTGACTTGAATGTGCAAATAGAATTAAAACGCAATTTCAGTAACCCAGTTTTTGGAATGAAAGGGGGTTTTTTGTTTCCCATTTATGGCTGTCTCATGGGCCTGCTAATGGGGAAAAAGAGCTTGGCGACGATGTCGTTGTTTTCATTGTCATAACTTTGCTTGATGACAAATATATTCATTTAATGCTTACTCAAAGCAACCAATCGCGTGACAAGCAGACTGAGCTGCTTGTTGCTGTTGTCGTAACAATGACACGAAGACTTAGCACAGCGTTGTAAGTGTAAAATTCAACTATTCTTTTCATTTTTCTTGCAAATCATGCAACGCAATCTAAACCGTTGACACATCGGCACACATTGGCGACATGTCGCGGCTGCCACTTGACACTGTCGCTCAAGTTCAAGGTTCAGGCATTGTTAGGGCCATGGGTTTTTTACCATTTGTTGATGTATCGTTACAAGTCTGTGCTTTGTCTCGCTGCCGACGTTCAGAAAAATTACAATAATTGTTATTTACGCATATTTGAACATAAAATGTGTCAGTTGGCAGCCAACGAGCCAACTTCAGTCTGCCCCCGACCCCAAACTTCGCGCCGTATGCGTAATGTGCAGTAAGGTCGATTGTATATATATACATATGTATCTGACAAGTTCGGTCATGCTTTAATAACTTGATTTGATAACTTATGTTAACCTTTAAAGCTGGTGTATCATAGAATTCACATGCGAACATTAAAAAATATGTGATTTCAATAATATAGGAGATACTACAGATACCATGATCTGTTAAATCACATTCAATTTTAAAAATGTTGAAAAAAATCACTTTGCTAGCTTGTTTACGTCAAGAGCACCAAAGGTTCGCTCAAGCTCAGCCTAAAATAAATAATTTAGTTAGCTGCGTTGATTACTTTAGCCTCATGCACAGCATTCATTAGCACGCAATTTGAGTTCTATACTGGATTCTGAAAAAAGCAAAAATAATTAACGCTGAATAAAATTAGCAGACTTTAAAAGAGATTGGGCGGCAATGGCTTTAAATGCGTTTCGAGCTTTTAATATAAATATCAACAAATTTTGGCTCTTTGAGTGACAGTTGTGCACAAAGCATTGAGGCTGAGGTATCGCTGTGACCAGCAATTGAAATAAATTAAAATACCATCATTTCAACGTATATTAATATTTAAATATGCGTCCAACGTACACGCTGCCGGCGTTGCTGTTGCTGCTCTCGATGGGGGCACACTTAAATGAAGCGGCGGCTGTCGTCGGCGACACAGCTGCTGACAAGGAAGTGGCTCCAGTTGGTGTTGTAAAAACGGATTTGCTGTCATTGGAGCAGGAAATTGTCGGCAATCCGGTGTCATATCAAGGAGTTCGTCATGCGCGTTCTTTCTTGTTTGGCTCTAGCCCCATCTATGGAGGTGGCTACGGTGGCTACGGCGGCTTCGGCGGCTACGGCGGCTACGGTGGCTACGGCGGCTATGGCGGCTATGGTTATCCCTACATTTCACCATACGGCTACGGTGGATACGGCGGCTATGGTGGCCTCGGCGGCTATGGTGGCTACGGTGGCTACGGTGGTGGCTACTATCCAAGACCCTTTGGTTTTAAGAAAATTATTTTCGGCTAATGCAGTGCTCAATGCGGATCTAGTTACCCGTCTATCTTGCAGTTCTATGTGGGATTATAAATAATGTGCAATGTGCTGACCCTTGGTGGTTATTGTTATTGTTCTTATTGTAAGACAGTTTTAAATTAATTTGCCGGACATGAAAAGTTGAGCTGAGCAACAAAAAAAGAAAAGAAAAAAATGGGGGAAAAAAACATGAAATTGCACAATTTATATTCATTTTTTGTTGTTGTTGTTGTTGTTGGCTTCTTGCTTCGGTTAGGGCACAGATTTTGCATAAATCATTTCGCAGCCACCAAAAATGAAACGCGTAACATAATTTTTAACCCTTGATAAATTTTTATGACAAGCATTTTCGTTATTTTCCCGGCCGCCTCTGATGCCGTTGTTGTTCTTGGCTATGGCTGTTTTCTGTTTGTGTTTGCGCCGCAGTGAAATGCAAATAAAGCGGATCAAAAGTTTGCTGTTAAAAGAAGATTAATTGCAATTTGGTGGCATGCTCACGGCCTCAGCTTCAGCCTCAGCCTCAGCCTCTTCTCTTCACCCCAATCACTACGCCATGGAGGTCAGATCTGGTAATTAAATATTTTTTTAAGCTGTTAATGGTTTTCATTTGCGCGCTGTTGTTTTAAGTAGTTGTTTTTGTTGTTTAATTCGCCAATTTTTTATATTCCCTGATCTTAAGTTCAGTTTGGAAATCAATAAATGTTATACAAAAATTGTGAAGTACTCCAAATTTGCCAAGGTTTTTATATCAGTTTTTAATTTTCATTTTAATATATACATTTCTGCTTGTGTATGGGCATTTTATTTAATTCGTAATGAAATTATTAATTTATGTTTAATTCATAACTGATAATTGCCTTCGTCATTATTTTTATAAGGCGCATTATTGTTAATGAATACATCTGTTAAATTTAGCCCATAATCAAAAACTTTTTAAGCTTTAATTATTAGTTTAGATTTGAGGACGCAACTTAAAAAGAACATTTTAAGTGGGTTTATTACGTTTTCAAACTGTCCCCACTCATTTCGAGCACGAGGGTGTGGCAAGCTCAACAGAGCCTGTCGTTCGGCTGGTTTTCAGCTGACTGTTGCGACCTTATGCCTCTCAGAATGTGTGTCGACAGTGTCACTCCTCTTGTTCATAATTTAAACGAGGTCAACAGGCAAAGCTTATTAAAAATTGTTTTTTTTTTTTTTTAATTTTCATTTGATTTAATTAAGTTATTTGTTGGTCAATTAACCTTTTTGTGGTCTGCTATTTCATTGTACGAGTATATTTTTTTATTCCATTGACTGTTGTTTGTTGAATTGCGCTTTATTTGTGTGTTAAGCATTTTAAACTGTTATTGTACTTACATATTACAGCCGTTAATTTTTTATTTTTATTTTTTTTGGCTTTATAATTGTTGGTGTTGGAGTTGAAAAAACAAATTGATATCTACTTGCAATTATGCAAGTGTGTTGACATTTTATTAATTAAAAATTGCTTTCAATTAAAATTAATGCGCTCAACTTGCATGTAATTCTATTATGTATCAGCCATTTAAAACCTACACAAATATGCACACACAACACACACAACACACACAACACATAGCTGAAGAGCACGCGACCAGATTTTACGTCATTCACCCACCAGTTGCAATCGCAGTCACATTGCTAGGCAACCATTGGCATAAATAAAGTCTGCTGGCATAGCGGGGCTCTTGGTTATGTCATTAGCGAAAAGATTTGCAAGCTCCTACACTGAAGGGGGCTTAGAGACTCGCTCATAATGCTGTAAAGCACGAAATCCTATAAGCGATGATGCTTAAGGTGAACTATATGTATATATAATTTCTACTTTTGTGCCCAATAAGAACATTACGATTAAATGCAGCGTGGATTTATATTATAGTGAGAGTTTGTATTTTTTTTACCAAGAAATTTACTAGGTACGCAGCCAATTATTTTAATTTTTATTTGACGCTAAGCTACTCGCTGTGCTATCGATCAAAATGGTTTGTTAAAAGTAATATAACTTATTTTAAGATATGTGTAAATGCACACATAAATGTAAAATTGTCTTTATATTTGAAGTGGGATTTGGAATAATTTGGAAATAGTCATGTACTTTAAGAGTCACTCTTCTGCTGAGTCAATGCATAAATGCATTTGCATCATGTAAGCCAAGCAAGCTTTGGCAACTGATGCAGCATACCGCTTTCTCATATAAAAAGACACTGGAAATGGCCATAGCCATGTGTGTGGTGTATAGATGCATATATGTATATGCCAAGTTGTGTCCTTGCCGCAGAGGCCAACTGAAATGAAGTGTCATTGTGATAGAGTCGCGGGTAATGCAGCTGTGTAGCAATGCACTGCAGCAGCAGCAATAGCAGTAGCAGCAGCAATAGCAGTAGCAACACCAACAGCAGACTCACAGGACGCCGCACTGGACTCAAGCGACACATTAATACGCACTACTGGCCATTTGCGACTGCGGCAGTCAGCACTGCTCACGTACTCTGCATTGTGACAAATGGATTTTCGCCTGAAATCCCCAGGATTTCTTCAAGTGTAATTGCGTACGCTAAGAGCAAATGCGAATTGCGAAATCCGACTCGCACTGCCACGGCCAGCAACTGGCCGCATCCCAAAACCAAAACTATTCGAGAAGAGCATGAAATTTCATGCGCTTGCCTTTATTGCACTCACTGAGTTATTTGTAGCTCTAGCCCAGTTGCAGGTTGATTGTGGATGTGCGTGAATTTGACCACTGGTGTGGATAGCAGCTCAGGTAAAGTAGCGTTTTGGATTGTAGGCCGTAGAGCTGAAACAGCAGCAAAACCACTTCTACAAGGTTGTTGAGTAAATGCAGCAAATTACCCATTTGCATCTTGGGAGATCCATTAGCGGTCCGCCGCTGATTAATGCGACGAATTTCCTTTCTGGTGCATCTCATCAGCATACCTATCAGTTTTAGGATGGGGTCTACCATCTGCATCATTCCAATCACGTTCTATATGCAAGCATGCAAGCATTGTGCACGGATAACGAGAGCCGCACTCGAAAGTAGACTGACCATGTGATTATTCTTGGCTGTGAGACAAATAGACTAGAATTTGCTACTGAAATCGGATCTATCCGTTTTGTTTTTATATAGCCTGAACAAATTACAAATGGGTAAAAAGGGTGTAATGGTTTTGTGCAAAAGTATGTAGTCAAAAGTATTTTTCCTGTGCAGAAGCAAGCAAATTCTACCCAATAAAGGCTCTATATTATTGATTAGGATCCCGTCCTAGCGTAACGTATCAAGTTTATTTAATTTTTATCGATAACTGCTCCGTTTTGTGAATATCGATCCAAATAGATTGACGATAGCAATAAAAGCTAAAATTTGAAAGATGAAACACAATATATCCTGAAATACTTTAATACGGAAACATGCAAAGTATATTCTCCTATTGATATCTTTACTATCAGCATGCCAAGGTCCTATGCAGCTTTCTCCCAAAAAAGGAGGGGTGCTGAGTTATTTTGTTTGCTTTTCAAAAATAAAGTATTTAATTGTTTCACACCAGCAACAATATTCTGAGCAATATTAAGATAAATACGATATTATTGATTGCTAACGGCAAAATGTGCATATGGAGTAAAGGAAAAATAAATATTATGAATATATCAATATTTGGAGGCACATTTAATGGATGAACACGCATTTACTTAGAATGTTAGTGGAGAGCCAGATCTGAAATGGAATTAATGTTGGCCTGTGGGAATAAACGGAAATTAAATGCAAATAGCTGAATAATATGAAAATATTAAAATGTGCAAATGCTTCCACGCTTTAATGTAACTGAAAATTGTGGTAACATTTTTATTATAAATCATGTCATTTAAATACCAAATCAATTACTGCATTTTAAATATGTGAATAATTACAAATGTGTTAAGTGCAAGCTTTTACATTTAAATGCGTTTAATGTGCCACAGGAGTTAATTTTAAATTTAAAAACAGTTGTTGATTAATTTCATCAATTCAAATTTGTTAGTAATTTATACTCTTGATGCCATAGGCTGGACAATAATCAATCTGCGACAGGCATGACAGGTTAATTGTACAATTCACATATCGATTTGAGTTCTGCAAAACAAAGCACCCAAGGCTAAAAGGAGTTTATTCTTTAATTGTAACAGATTTCCATATGAAGATTTGATTTCAGTGCTGCTATTAACTCTTGTGTTTTAAGCCATCGATGCACTATTATAAAATGTGTTCGTAAATATTTAAAGAAAAGCAACAAAATCTGCCTAATTCAAGCGGACGTTCCAACAGAATTAGGCTAACTGCGTCTTTGTGTGTGTATGTGTCTGAAAAGAAGGAAAATGTTAGGGGAAAGCTGTAAGGCAAATATGCAAGCAAACGGAAATAAAGAGAGGAAAGCGTAATGACAAAACTCTGGATTAAGAATGCGCCGCATACAAGTTGCACACTCGCCTTTGTCTCTGCTCTTCTTGGTATCTGGCACTTTGTGCAGTGTATCTTTTGCACAGTACACATTTGGCTACATATAGACGTATATTTTAAGCATGGCTTATCTTATCAAGCGACATAAAAGACGCTTTTCAGCGAGCATCCAGCTACCAGCTACCAGCTACCAGCTACCAGCTACCAGCTACCAGCTCCCAACTTCCAGCTACAAGCGTCCAGCCAGCCAGCGACAATCGTTCTGAGTGGGTTTGGTTTATTTTGGTTTGTTTTCAGCTGCTGCCTCTTTCCTCCCCAAGGGGCAGTGGCAAGGCACACAGCTGGACATTCATTACAAAAACGGAAACACTCGTACAGTGACAGAAGATAAATGGACCTGCACTAGTACGTGTGGCTCTCTGTCCAATTCTCAATGTGTCTGTGTGCGGTTTTTATTTAGTCGCTTGCTTTATCTCAGCATCTAAAAAATCTTTGATGCTGCAAAATAAAACAGCTTATACCTAGGAATGTATTGTATTTACAT